TGTATACCATAAGGTCACAAACATAAGTCAGACTTTAACTTTTCATGAACAGAATTTGGAGAGAAAGCGAGGCTTATATCCAGGCCAATACGGTATTTATTTTAAAGGGAATGTCTATAACAGAAGCCGATAAGATCTGCAAGCATGAATGAATACTGGAGTGAGTAGTGATGTCAGCAAGTCTTGGTAAGCAAATATTGGTAAGGATCTAGATAATATTTTAGTCTGATCTGGAAGGGTTCTTCTTATGCCCTTGTATTTTCCAGTTACCAAGGAACTATCACAAAGGGCAAATAAACAAAGCAAAGGTACCATTTTCCTGCAGCATGTCTTGCTAATAGATTCTGAAATGGACACAGTGAGTCATACAGCCTTAACTGAATCTTCCTAGTCCCTCTCAAGAACCAGAGAAACTTACGTTTGAGGTGATAGTGTTACCAACAACATGTGATGATGCTAATATTTCTTTGACATTTCATTAGACTGAGAACATCTGGAGAGGAGAAAGGAACCGTCTTCAAATCCAAAGCACTCCAGTTCTTTGCCTTCATTACAGATTTGGCATCACATGTCAGGATGAGTAATCCTAGTTTCTTCCTTCTCTTTAGGAAGACTTCTTTCCTACCTAAAGGCAGTGCTAGCATGCACAGTAAGCACCCAAAACATGCAGAATTTGTGAGAAGTGTGCAGGCTGCAGGCAGGAAGTGGAAAAAATGAGAATCATCTCCTGCCTTCTTTGTGCCTGTGGTTTGCACCAATTTCCACTACTGCCATTTTGGTGGAGGTTTACCACAAAGAAATAGCCGAATGCAAAATCCAGTTGGGTTGGAGAACAGAAGTCCTCTCCTACTGTAGATATTAATATTACACAGCATGAAGCAATTGGATGCATAAAAACCATCTCCTTTGGAAATAAAAATTGTCCAGACCAATAAATATTATTCAAAGCTTTTCTAACCAGAACGTCTTCAAAACAGGTACAGAACAATCAATGATACATCCAGAAAGTTGTATAAAGCATATGCATATAGGTGGTTCATAGAACATGATTACAATTAGAGCAAAAATTCAAAGGTCTGTCTCTCCCATAGCTTGCATTAGCCTGCATTCAGCCTAAGGCTATGCAGCTCCTGGAGAGGCTCATTTATCACATCTTTTTCTCACTGTGCCTGGGAACAAATGGCCCAGAGGCAACACCCTTCAAGATGGAGATTTGCAACTGAATACCTTTCACATGATCTAAGGTTAAACATCCATGTGAAAGCTAGCAGAGAACATCAACAGTTAGCTATCAGCTCAATTAGAAGCTTAGAGAGCTTCAGTACGCTGCAAAGGAATTTTCCAATGTTAAACCCTGTCAGCAACACACATGCAGGCATTCTCCATTTCAAGTGCAATTAAACAATTATACACAACACGCCCTCCCCACTCCACCATAGGAGCCAACTTCTAGGGGCTGAGGTCCCTTCACCTCCCCCTATAAATTGAGGACCCCCCCCCCCGTTAATGAGCACTGCCGTTCAAATGATGTGTGTGCGCCGCATCATGTGATCAATCATGTGGGGTGGGGCTTACCTGGGCCTCCTCAACATTTTATTCAAGTTGGCATCCCTGGACCCCAGCAAAGGGAGACTGGGGGAAGCTATAAAATGTTTAGTATGTGAGAATTGTCCCAGGCGAGCAAGCAGAGGGCAGGGATAGAGAAAATGAGATTAAAAGGGACACCCTCGTTAAAGACCGCAATTGTACTTAATAAGGTGAGGTTGCAGTAGTAGGTTGTACAGTGGTACCTCTGGTTGTGAACGGGATCCATTCCAGAGGCTCGTTTGCAACATGAAAAAAGCGCAACCTGCAGTGGCACGTCTGCACATGCGTGGGTTGCGATTCGCCGCTTCTGTGCATGCACGTGATGTCATTTTGCGTGCATGCATGAGTGGCAAAACCCGGAAGTAACCCTTTCTGGTACTTCCGGGTCGCCATGGGACATAACCTGAAAGAACGTAACATGAAGCGGACGTAACATGAGGTATGACTGTATAGGTAATGCATCCGGAAGATAAATTGTATATTGAGGAGTTTATGATCTAACACGGTTGCCCTTCCTGCCTTTGTTCGTTCCTCTTCTTATCTCTTGTTAAGATGTTTGATGGCATGAGAACAGCCTTTAATGTCTTAAGAATAGGGAGGAAGTGATAGTAGGTAGGCAGTAGCGGAGAAATGTGGGGGGTGGTCCGCCCCTTGCGTCATCCCTGAGGGGGGGTGACATCACCCTGGGACGCACGCCGCTGCTGGCGCACCCCTCTAGGATGCTCCCCGCTGCTGGCACACACCCCTGGGACATGTGTCCCCGCCGGCACACCCCTGAGGCAACTAGCCCTGCCCCCACAAGCTGCTCCGGGTGCTGGAGCAGTTAGCTCCACCTCTGGTATCTTCTTTGATGTTGGACACTGTTTTGAGAAAGTGAAGCACTGGGAGGGGGTGGCTAATGAATAATCTGAACATAGCCAGTCGGAAAGCCACACAGGCTAGTTATCTATAAATTGGATGGTTTTGGGCAGAGTTTTTAGGACAGGCTCGTGCATGGACTGATGGCCATGGGGCCATGAACACTGAGGCTACCTAGGGGAGTCACTTCGCCGCTTCTTGAGGGTTTCCAAGTGGTAGATCGAAGTGCTTGCTTGGTGTGTATATAGTGCTTGCTGCTTAGAATAAAATCTTTATTAATATAAATCTTGTGATGCGGATAGAGAGTAAATAAGAATCTGTAAGAAAGGATGTTAATTGTGAAAGCCGATGCAGGGAAGGAAGGAAGTCCGGGCGCGATAATGTGCACAGTAAATAAGTAGGCACAAAAATGTTGAATGTAAGAGTATATTCTTTATTTATTTTTGTTTTGGAAAATCAATAAAAAGCATTAAAAAAAAGAATAAAATCTTTAATCTTCTCACTCACTTGCATTTTGTATTACTTGCGAATCTCATTTCAAAAGAACCACCTTGCATTGGGCCAGACAGAGGTGGGGATGTTTCACAGAGCAGAAAGGCGTCGGATCTGCATTGCGCAGGGGAGTGCAGTGAACAGGGGCAGAGATGCCACGTGGTTGCTGGGTGAGAAGCCAGGTCTCTTCCATTCTGCCTGCACACACAGACCGTGGAGCCGGCAAAACGAGGGCACGCAAGGCAAAACATGGCGTTGCAAGGAGCTTCGCCTTGTTTCCCGCCCATCCTTCCTCCCCCGCCCTCCCCGATTTTACAAAAATGTAAATCCAGCTTCATACAATTGACATCCAGTACCCACAGCCGGGAGACCAATCTCTGAACTTCCCTTCGTTCAGTCCCTTCTCCATCCTTATACAGGGCAGCAAAGGAGCCTTTGCTTGACAGTCGTGCGTATTTGCATCTTCGCAGCCTTTGCTGCTTCTGCCCAAGGGCAGGAGAGCAGAGCCGGTCCCAGCGTCTCACGGTCTGCAGCAAACCCCAGAGATATTAATATCGTCGTGGCTGCCGCAGTTTTCCTCTGCAGGATGAAGCTGCAGCCACGCAGCGCACCGCTCAGCGTCAGCTCACCCCCGCTCTGCAGTTCTGTCTTATTATTTATGGCATCCGGGACATTCCTCACTCATGCTCTGCATTTGGCTCCCCGTCCTCTTGTTGTTCCAGCGTCCTTTTAATCCCCTTGCACATGGCCGTGTTGTTTTTGCTTTTCCGAACGATCATCTCTATCTAGGACAAAGACTGGGGCTGAGTCTTTCTGATTCTTTTTTCATTAAGGAGGGCTTATCGACCTGTGATGACGCTACGACAGGTTGGGCTAAGGTCAAAATAAAATCAAAAATGCAACTGCGCTGGCCTTCCTTGAATCCCAGGCCTGTCTTATAAATCACTCAGCAGATACAAGGGGGATGGGGGAAGATACGCATATTGTATCTCAGCCAGAAAGCATGTGAGTTATTTGACCAACAAATATGCTGAGAAGCCCCTGCAGCTGTCCGCCATTTGTCTTCCAGACCCACCCACCCAATTCCAGCAGGATAGAGATCATTCTGAAGTCGGTTTTTCGTTTTAACGCCACAAGCGATATTTTGCACCGTGCATTTTCAATGCTATTTTAAACAATGCAACGATGGAATTGTCCTAAAGAATATAAGCCCTGGGTTAAAAACAGAGACTTACTGGGGAAAGTGTGGTTTGGGGAAGGTTTGCTGAAGATATGGCAAAATGCAGCCCCATTTCTCTGCTTCGATTTCAAAAGGGGGGGGGAGGGAGATGTGTACCGCTTTTATGAATGCATGTGTCTGCACACACGATTCTACTGGAGGCCTGCAACTGTTGTGTCCCAGACAGACGGCTTAGATAGCACATTATAATCCAAAAGCGCCACTGTATCCCTATGGGGACAGTAGGATGTGAATAAAAGGGACAGTGGCGCCATTCGAGTGGCCTCATGTCCCCCCCCCCGCATTTCTTCCTACAGAATGACCCTTTGATCCTCTCCAAAAGCAAAGATAATTGCCCTGTTGAAGGATCAGGGCTCTCTTGTCTCCCTAGAGGAGGGGGGGGGGAGGAGGACTGTTTTGTTACATCACTCTATGAACAGTTGTCGTTTTTAAATAAATAAATAAAATACCCCGTGATCGGGAAGTCGCATCAAGAGTTTTCGATGCAAGGAATTCAGCTGGGTGCTATCAAAGAATCTTCAAGCCTGTCCCCTAAAAAAATATGAAGGATTCGCCCTCGCCGGAGAGCAGGAAGAGTGGATCCCGGGAGCCCACACACCTCGCCGCCTCCCTCTCTTCCCCCAAAACCCATCTTCCCAGCGAAAAGGGGGGACATTGGTTTCAGCCAATCACGGATTGTGAGCTCACAGACGGACGTGCCCGGCTGCCCAATGGCAACCGCGCAAGCAGAAGGATGATCCTAAATGCATGGCCAGCCCAGCTACCCCCGCCCAGCCCTGGGAGGGAGATGTGAGATAAAAGCAGCCGGGCGGCCCCTCCTTCTCCCATTCGGTTACTTACATCGACTCTTAGCTTGTCGGGAGAAGTAACATCCCTGCTTTCTGTCCCTTCTTTCCTTCTCCTGCTTCCTGAAGTCCTTCCTCGTCGACATCATGGTGAGTGAGGCGAGGAAGGAGGAGGAGGAGGAGGAAGCCGGAGTGGGGTTTTTTTGGGGGGGGGAGAGAAGGGGATGCTTATTTTTTCTGCAGAGGAGTAGATCCCAGGGTGGGGCGCCCCTCCGATGTCCAGGGAAGCGTGGGGCGAAGGGATCGGGGCGGGAGGGGGGAGAATCCGGAGGCCGGACTGGATTCCCCACTAGGAAAGCCACCGGCGATGATGGCTGGAGCGCGCGCGCGCAAGGATTACGGGATCCACCGCTTGGAGGGTCGGGTGGGGGCTGGGGAGGAGGTTTTACCTTAAGGAACATAAGCATCGAGAAGCTGGGGGAGCCCAAGGGGCAGGCAGCTCGCCCATAGTGGCTCGGGAGAGGATGTGTGATGTGTCTGCTGGCGGAGAAATCGATTTGGATCTTGGAAAGGGCGCATCTGAAATAATAACAAAGACGCGAGGCGTAAAGAGGGGGCTGGGAAAGGATCGTGGCAGGAGCCGGGCCAGCCCTTGATCTCGGGAGGGAAGGTGATGAGGTTTTCTTGGGGGGGGGGTGCGCTGGAGAGCCAGGGGTGGGGCGGAGAGAAGGTTCTAGACTGGGTGGCCAGGAGCTGGTGTTGGGCCTTGATGGAGAAGGGGGGGGGGTGGGATCTCAAAAGACGGAGGTGCTGATAAGGGGGGGGGCTTTATTTCTTGCATTTTATGCCGTGCCCTACACGCCCCCCCCCCGTTTCACCCTCCAGCCAGGTGGGTTCAGCTGAGTTGAACGAGACACGCGATGCGAAGCCGGGTCAATCCTCGGCTCTGATCCGACCCGTCCACTACCGCCTCTGGATTAATGGCAGGATTGGAAGAGAGTGTGTGTGTGATCGTGGCGGGGGGCGGGGTAGCATTTAGGTCGGAGGCAGCCCTGCTGCTGAATTGCAATTGCGGGAGCGGAGAATGCACCAGGTCGGCCCCGGTGGAACAGGGCGCAATCAAGAAGGGCTTTTCCTCTGTCTGGAGGTGGGAATGCAAGAGGGCTCCCCCCGCCACTGCAAGATAGATGCCAACTTCTTAATAGGATCTGAAGGCTCTGCATGGATTACCTCCATATCCTAAAAGCCCTTAACATATAGTCCCCGTTATCCACTGGAATAGACATTCTTGCTGATGCCACTGGGGGAAAACTACTGGGGCCAAGGCTTGCCTCCCTATTATTATTATTATTATTATTATTATTAGCCATGTGGCCATAGCATGATATACATAAAAATAACAACATAAAATGGGGGTGGGGAGATAAATAAAATCTATTGATTTATTATTATTATTATTATTATTATTATTATTATTATTATTTGGAATTGCAAGCCTTGTCGTCCGAGATGCGTGGGAGGGATTTTGCTAATTTCAGTGGGTTATTCGGATTATTATTATTTCTTCTACACTGATGGTGATGGGGAGAGGTTGAAAAGGCGCATGGAGCCCCCCTTGGCTCCTCCCCCGCGCGCCTGGCGTTAACATTTTCCCGCGCTGCGAGGCTGGAGGAGGGGGCTGTTTGCCTTTGGCGCGCGGAAGGGGCGCTGAGCCCGCGCCACGAGGTCTGCTTCCGCTGCAGCATCAGCAAAGATGCCCCGGTTGCATATGCTCCCCCTTCCCCCATCCGCGAAGCAGCGCACACATCACATATTCTGTTTCGGCACAAGGGGGGTTGCTCAATCGGGGAGGGGGGGAAGCTCGCCAGGTTTTCCTGAAAGTAGCCCAAGAATTTTGGGGTCTCATCTAGAAAAAAAAAGTTCAAGAACTTTCGGGGTGTCCTGGTTTTTACTTTTTTGTGTGAAATGTGGCAACCCTATCCCCTGCTTGCTTCTGCAAATCTCCCTCTTCTCCACCCCAACCTTTTGGAAACGTTGCAGAACATTAGGATCCATAGCTCTACCAGAGCTCTATCTTTGCTATTTTACACCCCCTTATTATTATTGCAAGATTTCAGGACTGGACATAACAAAACCCCTAGTAATAAGGTGCAGTGTGAATTTGAAAGGAGACCTGTAGAAAGGTCAGTTAAATATTCCTCCTTGCAAAACTTCTTGTAGTCCTACTAGCGTAATTTGTTGGTTACAATTGCTTGTAGTTCATATACTTCTTCCAGTCTTCTGTAAATCTCTGGTCCCGCAGGTTTCGAAGTGCTACAAAGTAGATAAAGAATAGAGATATTGGTTATGTGTTTTAAATGTAACAGGGAAAATAAGAAACGTATACCAAGAGATTAGATTGGAAAATTTTCAGACAGGACTGATGGAAGTCAAAAAAATTGAATAAGATGTAAAAATATGTTTAATTACTGTTGAAAATGGTATGTTAAACACACACACACACACACACACACACACACACACACACGTATATATATAATCTATATGTGTCAATTAAATGGGTAACTGGGTGGCTGGAGTTCTGCTTTTCCTCAGTAACAAATATGCAGGCTGGTAGGTCATAGAGTTGGAAGGGGACCACAAGGGTCATCTATCCCAACCACCTGCGATGCAGAAATTTCAGCTAAAGCATCCGTGGCAGGTGGCCGTCCAACCTCTGCTTTAAGACTTCCAAGGAAAGGGAGTCTTACTGAGCCCTTGGACGCTTGAGGAAAGCCATGGCTGAGGCAGGCCGCTGAAACCAGGGGTTAGCATGACGCAAGGGGCTGTCCTGAATAATGAGGGTTAGATTTGGGGTCCCTGGGGCATGTTCTGCTACTGCCTAATTTGCCCTGCTTAGAATGTAAAGATAAAGGGACCCCTGACCATTAGGTCCAGTCACGGACAAGTCTGGTGTTGCGGCGCTCATCTCACTTTACTGGCCGAGGGAGCGGGCGTACAGCTTCCGGGTCATGTGGCCAGCATGACTAAGCCGCTTCTGGCGAACCAGAGCAGCGCACGGAAACGCCATTTACCTTGCCACTGGAGTAGTACCTATTTATCTACTTGCACTGGTGTGCTTTTGAACTGCTAGGTTGGCAGGAGCAGGGACTGAGCAATGGGAGCTCACCCCGTCGTCGCGGGGATTCGAACTGCCGACCTTCTGATCGGCAAGCCCTAGGCTCTGTGGTTTAACCCCCAGCGCCACCCGCATCCCTGCTTAGAATGACTAATGTCTGACATGCTCGAGAGCCCAATGGCCTCTCAAGTGCCATCTGTTGGGATGAAGATTTGAAAGGCATGTTTCAAAGCAAGTGACACCCTGGGGTGTGTGGTCTGTGCCTGATGAGCACAAGTGGATTGCAGAAGGCATCTGACAGGAATCTACATCTAGGCTTGAGATAATCCTCCAGCAGGCCGCCAGCAGGTGCTGCACAGAGTAAATTGATTCTCGAAGGGTGGGGCTAGCGGTCTCTGATTTACACATGGGGGAAGGAGCCGATTCCATCGGCTTTTTGCCTTCCGAGTCAGCTGACGGCAAGTGGCGTGACCTGCTGGTTGCTGACTGCAGAGAGTACAGTCACAGCTTTGTGCTGAACAGCTTATTCATGCTGTTTTTTTTATAGACGGCAGAATTCCCCTCTGTGATTAAGTCTGTCTCAGTGCGGGAACTTCATTAGGCCTGCAAATGAAAGCTAATGTTTAAAAAAAATTCCTCTTTCAATATGGTGAGCTAGGCCTTGCCAGCTGAACTGTAAATGTGCCTCACTAGCAATCTTAACTGCAGCACGACGTTGCTCCCGTTACCAGTAAATTCGTGCAATTCTTTTCTTTTTGATCCATTATACGGTGGTACCTCGGGTTACATATGCTTCAGGTTACAGACTACGCTAACCCAGAAATATTGCTTCAGGTTAAGAACTTTGCTTCAGGATTAGAACAGAAATTGTGCTCCGGCGGCGGCATTAGCTAAAGTGGTGCTTCAGGTTAAGAACAGTTTCAGGTTAAGTACGGACCTCCGGAACGAATTAAGTACTTAACCCGAGGTACCACTGTATAAAGCACAAGGTTTCTTTCGCGAAAGTCTGAGGGAGGGGCCACACAGTGTTTGAAATTCCCATTGATTTGGGCGCGTTTTGCGACAGGGAATTTCAACAGCGTGAGCAGCTTCTGAGCTCTGGGCGCAGTTCTGCGCCTGAGATTTCAGATTAAAACTGCAGAGTGGAAGGAAAGGAGGACCTTTTTCTGCCTCCCTGCTTCCAGATGCTCTCTGAAGACTGGAGAAGATACCCACTTAAGGATATTAAGGAGATGGGCAGGGGAAGGACTAGACCAGGCACATCCCAACAGGTAGATAGTGATCTACCGGTAGATCACTGTACATCTGTGGTAGATCACTGGCTCCCCCCAAAGAAGCTCAACAAGTTTGGCTGCCCCCCCCAAAAAGTTCAACGTTTAAATAGCCCTGCACCCCCAAAAACGGGGCTTTGGTCCTCCCTAAAAAAGCTCAATGACCTTGACCTCAAACCCCCCCCCCCAAAAGAGGGCTTTCCTTCCCAAAAAGGCTCAACTAAAAAGGGGTAGATCACTGCCAGTCTTTGTGAGTAGATCACAGTCTCTCAGGAGTTGGCCACGCCTGGACTAGAATACGTGAAAAATAAACTTAAGATTTTAGCTGAATTTTCAGCTTTGTATTCTTTTTATAAAAACACGCCCAGACATTCCATTGTTGCACCAATAATTAATAAATAAATAAACTAACTAACTAACTAACTAACTAACTAACTAACTAACTTTATTTATGGCTGGGTTTCCCCAACCACTCTGGGCAGCTTCCAATCTAGGTTTAAGATGCCATTTAGCTCCTCGCTTTCCTGTCTCCGTTTCTAGCACTGGGACCACATAATCTTTAATGCAAAGAGCCGTAGAAAAATACCAAAGCAATAAGGACACCTGCTCAGCGCATAACAGTCCCCAGTGTGGTTCAATAAACTGTGAAGGGAAATGAAAAATGGGTCTTGATTCAGGACTGCTTGGAACATTTCTTCTAATACGAATCATCAAAACTTTATTACATTTCTCACATGTTACTCTCAAAACTAGTTGGGAACTGTATCTATCGTACAGTTGATCCTGATACATTGTGTTAATACAGTCAAAGAACTGCACCCAGCAAGGGCCTTTTCGATGGAAAAGGACATTTAGGGTGGGGCCTCCTTTTATGGGGAACTGCCGACACAGGTGTGTCCAGCCTCTACTTTGAGGTGGTTGGTTCAGACGCCATCTTTTTTTGGCAGGTATTTGTGGGAAGGAGAGACCTGATCGCTGCTGCTATTAGCAACATTGTTTTGAATGTGTTTCTATTTTATAATGTATCTTACCTAGTGAACCTCTCTGAGACCTTTGGATGAAGCGTGGTATGGAAACTCAGTCACTGATCTGCTTTAGCTTGTGCAAAGGGTTGTATATAATTCTGTGCAAAGGGTTGTATATAAATAACAAACAAAACAAACCTGCTAAATTTGTTCATCAACTATTCCTCTCTCTCCTTGTTGCAGCGTGAGTGCATCTCCATCCACGTTGGCCAAGCCGGAGTCCAGATTGGCAATGCCTGCTGGGAGCTCTACTGTCTTGAGCACGGCATCCAGCCTGATGGGCAGATGCCCAGTGACAAGACCATTGGGGGAGGAGACGACTCCTTCAACACGTTCTTCAGTGAGACGGGAGCTGGCAAGCACGTGCCCAGGGCGGTCTTTGTGGACCTGGAACCAACTGTGATTGGTGAGCAAACAAGGCACTTCTAATAGCTTTCTAGCTGTGTTTGTGTCTACAGGAGGGATGCCAGAGGTCTTGATGCTTCCACTTGCTTCTCTCCGCAGATGAGGTGCGCACTGGCACCTACCGCCAGCTCTTCCACCCCGAGCAGCTCATCACTGGCAAGGAGGATGCTGCCAACAATTATGCCAGGGGCCACTACACCATTGGCAAGGAGATCATTGACCTGGTCCTTGACAGGATCAGGAAGCTGGTAAATAACTTGCAGACAGGTTTTAATGAGGACCTGGGTGAGCTTAGTAGGATAAAGCATTTGAGGGCATTTGTGGTCTAAATCACTGAGCCTCTTGGGCTTGCCGATCAGAAAGGTTGGCAGTTTGAAAGTGCACAACGGTGTGATCTCCTGTTCGAAAGCATGCTAGTGCAAGTAGATAAATAGGTACCGCTGTGGTGGGAAGGTAAATAGTGTTTCTGTGTGCTCTGGCTTCCATCCTGTTGCACCAGAAACAGTTTAGTCATGCTGGCCACATGACCCAGATAGCTGTCTGGACAAACGCCGGCTCCCTCAGCCTGAAAAGCGAGATGAGAGCTGCAACCCCATAGTCACCTTTGACTGGACTTAACTGTCCAGGGGTCCTTTAACTTTTAACTGTCCAGGGGTCCTTTAACTTTTACCTTTACCTCCTTTACCTGGCTTTGGAAAGGTAGTGCAAGGGCTGGGGAGGCAGGGTCCAATGTTGCCAAGGGCTGCCAAAAAAGGCATTGAAGCAACGTGTTGGACCTCCCTGTTCTAGAACTTCAGAGAACAAGGAGTGAGCCTTTTCTCATACCCAAATTCAGCTGCAGATTGGAATTTGTTTTGGATTTACATAACCACAGTGCTTTTTCTGGGGGGAGTGCAGGGGTACACATACCCCTAAACATTTTGTGAACCTTGGACTTTTGTCAGTTTACTATATTTATTTCCCCCGATTTGAACTATAAAATGGTGAGTTTCTTGAGTCAAAATGAGATTACCCCTAAACATTTTTTTAAAAGAAAGAAAAAGCACTGTATAACTTGGATTTGTGAAGGCTTGGAAGTGTGGAGCCATAACAAGCTTCTGTCCACCTTAGCTACCCAAACTCCCAGATCCGTCCTGGTTGTTCTGCCTATGTAAACACTAGCCTCTGCCCTTTGGTGAGGGCAAGCGTATTTAAACACAAATCACCATGTGAGCGATGAAAGGGATAAAACGGGGAGGGGGGGAATCCTCAGATGAACTGCAATCAGCACGAGACATCTGGGGAAATCTGATCATGAAAAGCAGCCAAGACTTAACTGCAGATGCATGAGGGAGTTTTGAGTAGATAAATGCATGCTTTAGTCTGAGGTTTGCCAGTGAAATGGTATTGATGTGAAGAAGTCCTTGAGGGCTGTGCTAGTAACTTTTACAGTGGTACCTCAGGTTACAGACTCCGCTAACAGAGAAATAGTACCTCGGGTTAAGAACTTTGCTTCAGGATGAGAACAGAAATCGCGCGGCAGCGAGAGGCCCCATTAGCTAAAGTGGTGCTTCAGGTTAAGAACAGTTTCAGGTTAAGAACGGACCTCTGGAACGAATTAAGTACGTCACCAGGGGTACCACTGTATTTAAAATCAGCATCCTTTCAAAACTGCTGCTTCTGCTGTGGCATAACATACCTAGAGAAGCACAACTGGAGTTTGGTGTTAGTATTGGGATCCAAAACAGTCTTGAAGAGATCAGTGTATGAGGCTGTTAATTTGTTAAGTAGGGCCAGGAGTCAATTTAGTTGCTGAACGTTAATCCTGCCTGTTAAATTATGTGATAGGGCTTGTCTTGCAATAGACAAGAGTGTTAGAATTTTTAAAAAATCAGCACTAAATATTGTGTGGTTATTTCTAACAGGCTGACCAATGCACAGGTCTCCAGGGCTTCCTGGTCTTCCACAGCTTTGGTGGGGGCACCGGCTCTGGGTTCACCTCCTTGCTGATGGAGCGCCTGTCCGTTGACTACGGCAAGAAGTCCAAGCTGGAGTTCTCCATCTACCCAGCTCCCCAAGTCTCCACAGCTGTCGTTGAGCCCTACAACTCCATCCTGACCACCCACACCACCCTGGAGCACTCCGACTGCGCCTTCATGGTAGACAACGAGGCCATCTATGACATTTGCCGCAGGAACCTGGACATTGAGCGCCCCACTTACACCAACCTCAACCGCCTTATCAGCCAGATTGTGTCCTCCATCACGGCCTCCCTGCGATTTGACGGTGCCCTGAATGTAGACCTGACAGAATTCCAGACCAATCTGGTGCCCTATCCCCGAATCCACTTCCCCCTGGCCACCTACGCCCCAGTCATCTCAGCTGAGAAAGCTTACCATGAACAGCTTTCTGTAGCAGAGATCACCAACGCTTGCTTTGAGCCAGCCAACCAGATGGTGAAATGTGACCCTCGTCACGGTAAATACATGGCCTGCTGCCTGTTGTACCGTGGGGACGTCGTTCCCAAAGATGTCAACGCTGCTATTGCCACCATCAAGACCAAACGTAGCATCCAGTTTGTGGACTGGTGCCCCACCGGTTTCAAGGTTGGTATCAACTACCAGCCCCCCACGGTGGTCCCCGGGGGCGACCTGGCCAAAGTGCAGCGTGCCGTCTGCATGCTGAGCAACACCACAGCCATTGCTGAGGCCTGGGCTCGCCTGGACCACAAGTTTGACCTGATGTATGCCAAGCGTGCCTTTGTCCACTGGTACGTTGGGGAAGGGATGGAGGAAGGCGAGTTCTCGGAGGCCCGGGAGGACATGGCTGCCCTAGAGAAGGATTACGAAGAAGTGGGTGTGGATTCCATTGAAGGAGAAGGGGAGGAGGAAGGAGAGGAATATTAAGCCTGTTCTCCATCACTTCTGCTGCATGGCTCATCTCCACGGTTTTTTCAGCTTAACACACTTACCATACCTGTTAACTGGGGGAGTGTTGTCTATGAAAAAGTGCAGCGGTCTTCACTAGGTTATCTCTCCATTCCACTATGTGATTATGTCAATTTTCCATGTCTTTTAAAGTATCATCATGTCTGTGAAATAAATGCTTTAAAAGGATCTGGGTATGCATCATTGAATTATTAGTATTCTCTTAACACCAAGGGTGTTAAGAGACCGAATGGACCGAAAGTGATGGAAATGCCAGTTCTTGCCTACTACACCATTCAGCACTTTCACTTTCTTTAGAAACTGGTAGGACAGAAAACAAATCTCTTTAACTGATGTCAATAGCCGTTAATATATAAGCTAAGATGCAAACTTGTACAGTATATAGCTTATTCACTGTTCCTTTGATGTCTGGACTTTTAAGTACAAGTACACAATTATCATCATCATTTATTAGACTTCTTAGTTTTTACAAACAGATCATTAAGTAACTTGCACCATATTTACAAACAAAAGAACATAGCGACACATTAACAGAAAAATACTGTACGTGCAATTCATGAAAAACGTTGGAAGCAAAAAGCAGCTGCACAAAGCTTTGGCAGCACACGAACTGCAAAACCATCATAGTCCATCAAAAGCCTGCAGATGTTTGCCTATAACTTTGCAGCTGTGTGTTTGTTTTTTAAAAAACATCTGTCCCAATTTGATTTCCTAAAACTGGCTTGAGAAAAGGAGAGAAAGAAACACAGTGCTAATTGGCTGGTAAATGTCTGCTTAGAAATAAGTCCCATTAAGTTAAATGAGGGTAAGTCCCAAGTAAATGGGTATAAGGCAGGGGTCGGCAACCTTTTCCAGCCGTGGGCCGGTCCACCATCCCTCAGACCATGTGGTGGGCCGGACTATATTTTTTTTGGGGGGGGGGAGGAATCAATTCCTATGTCCCACAAGTAACCCAGAGATGCATTTTAAATAAAAGCACACATTCTACTCATGTAAAAACACGCTGATTCACAGGCCGGATTTAGAAGGCAATTGGGCTGGATTCGGCCCCCGGGCCTTAGGTTGCCTGCCCCTGGGTATAAGGATTGCAGCCATAGGACGAGTAAGTGCAAATATGCCATCACAACCTCCCACTGAAAGCAGGAAGAGGAGTGTGGCCCCCTTTTCTGTTGTAGCTAAGCGATAACTAGCAGTCTTGTACCTGGAAACACTTGGGAATTCTAAGCTTCCAAAAAAATTTGCAGTTTTTAAATCAGTGGTTAAAATTGGTGAAGGATGTAGTCTGCCATCTTGATTAAAATGGTGTCCAATTGTATCCAAACACAGACTCCTTGATCTCATCATGCAAAATTTGTTATGATCTCCGAATGCATAGCAAACAGATAATTCCCTCACTGGCGGTTCCCTCACTGTGAGAAGCGAAGTTAAAGGGAAACCAGGAAGAGGGCCTTCTCGGTAGTGGCACCTGCCCTGTGGAGCGCCCTCCCGTTACATGTCAAGGAAATAACCAACCATCTGACTTTTTGAAGGCAACCCTGTATCGGGAAGTTTTTAACATCTGATGTTTCATTGTATTTTTTTATATTTTATTGGAAGCTGCCCAGAGTGGCTGGGGATATCTGGCTGGGTGGGATATAAATAATAATAATAATAATAATAATAATAATAATAATAATAATAATAGACCAATACAGTGGTACCTCTGGTTACATACGCTTCAGGTTACAGACTCCACTAACCCAGAAATTGTGCTTCAGGTTAAGAACTTTGCTTCAGGATAAGAACAGAAATCAGGCTCTGGCGGCGCGGCAGCAGCGGGAGGCCCCATTAGCTAAAGTGGTGCTTCAGTTTTAAGAACAGTTTCAGGTTAAGAACAGACCTCCGGAACGAATTAAGTATGTAACCAGAGGTACCACTGTAATGTCCTGGTGACCGATAATGGCACTTTAACAAATGATAATCTTGGTTGTATTGCTGAAGATTTATTAAAAGCATGTCGGCCCACACAGCCTAATTCTTCTTTGTCCACTGATACTTTCCACCTGTGCTGCTTTACTGTCACATCAGTTAGAGGCGCAGTATAAATACTAGATGGGGATGGTTACGATGGTGCATTGGGCTGATAGATGGGGGCATGCATGCTGCTCTTTTGGAGCTGGCGCAAAGGGGCCCTGGCGACATAGCACAGTCAGCGCACATTACAGTTGATGCAACAAAGCTCCTTTGTGCATTCAGGGGATAAAAAATTAATCTGGCCACCTGACGGAGCAATCAGATTACTATTTTATTGAGTGCCCAGCTGTAATGTGCATGGAGCTTGCCCCATGGCAAGGCTCAGTTTTCACTAGTGTACTCTTCCCTTGTGATAAATGACTGAGAACTCTTGTGGAAGACTTTTTTGATCATTGGCTGTCTTAAACGCAGCCTGTCTCTCATCTGATTGTACAGTGGTACCTCGGGTTAAGAACTTAATTCATTCTGGAGGTCCGTTCTTAACCTGAAACTGTTCTTAACCTGAGGTACCACTTTAGCTAATGGGGCCTCCTGCTGCCGCCGCGCAATTTCTGTTCTCATCCTGAAGCAAAGTTCTTAACCCGAGGTACTATTTCTGGGTTAGCTGTAACCTGAAGCGTCTGTAACCTGAAGCGTCTTTAACCCAAGGTACCACTGTACTGCCCTCCATTTCCAGTTAGTTGCATTAGGATGGGTTTTTGCAAGTTCGCCTACTACTCTGAGCTCCATGGTTTTGGCTACGCCTCTCAGGTCACCTTCCATTTTGTGCTGCGCATAGTGGTGCCTAGGCAGATGTACTAAAACCTACAATAAAGGTAAAGGGATCCCTGACCATTAGGTCCAGTCATGGCCGACTCTGGGGTTGCGGTGCTCATCTCACTTTACTGGCCGAGGGAGCCGGCGTACAGCTTCCAGGCCATGTGGTCAGCATGACTAAGCCGCTTCTGGCGAACCAGAGCAGCGCATAGAAACAGCACACACATAATATTTTACTACTAATACATTCTGCGACAGTGAGCACATAAACATTTTACTGCCGAACTGCATAATCTCGGCGAAGTGTTAATTGCATACATGCGATTGCACGTCTTCCTCTGTATTGTGGGAGCAGATATGGCTCAGACACACTGTCGGCACCTGGTGCCCTCCAACAGTGGGTGGCACTGTGGTCTAAACCACTGAGCCTCTTTGGCTTGCCGATCAGGTCGTGGTTCAAATCCCCGTGATGAGGTGATCGCCAGTTGCTCTGTCCCAGCTCCTGCCAACCTAGCAGTTCGAAAGCACACCAGCGCAAGTAGATAAATAGGTGCCGCTGTAGCGGGAAGGTAAACAGCATTTCCATGTGCTCTGGTTTCCATCACGGTGTTCCGTTGTGCCAGAAGTGGTTTAGTCCTGCTGGCCACATGACCCAGAAAGCTGTCTGTGGACAAACACCGGCTCCCTTGGCCTGAAAGCGAGATGAGCGCTGGAACCCCATAGTCGCCTTTGACTGGACTTAACTGTCCAGGGGTCCTTTACCTTTTACCTTACACACCAACTGTTGCCAGGGCTCAGCAGTCCTGCTGGATCCCATTGGGCACTAACACCTATCCTCATCCCCAGCTGTGGACTTCATGTGCCCCAGAGTTATGCTGGTGTGGGGCACCTCAGGTCACTGTGGGAAATGGAAGTCCACCGGAGGGCACTTGGCTGAGGAGCTACTCAAACCTGAAGCTGGCCCAAATGCCTCTCTCATGTATAATGGGGAAAAGCCTGCCCCTGTACCTCTGCCACTGCCTCAAGTGGCAAAATGGGACTTGCTAGCCCAGGCATTGAGGGGAAAACTGGCAGCCTGCTGGACACACAAAGATGTTGAAAGAGATTGAGGAAGATGTGTGTTTGCCTAGGTAGGAGAGCCAGCACTGGAAGGGATTAATAATAATAATATAATAATAATTTATTATATCTACCCCGCCCATCTGGCTGGGTTTCCCCAGCGACTCTGAGCGGCTCCCAACAGAATATTAAAAACACAATATAACATCAAACATTAAAACTTCCCTAAACAGGGCTGCCTTCAGACATCTTCTAAAAGTCAGATAGTTGTTTATTTCCTTGACATCTGGTGGGAGGGCGTTCCACAGGGCGGGTGCCACTACCAAGAAGGCCCTCTGTCTGGTTCCCTATAACCTCACTTCTCGCAGGGAGGGAACCACCAGAAGGCCCTCGGAGCTGGACCTTAGTGTCCAGGCTGAACGATGAGGGTGGAGACGCTGCTTCAGGTATACTGGACCAAGGCCCTTTAGAGATTTAAAGGTCAGCACCAACATTTTGAATTGTGCTTGGAAACGTACTAGGAGCCAATATAGGTCTTTCAGGACCGGTGTAATATGGTCTCGGCTCCATTCCCAGTCACCAGTCTAGCTGCCGCATTCTGGATTAATTGGCAGTAAAGGACCTACAAGCCAGCTCTGGGAGAGGTATGGAACTTACTGAACAGAAGAACAGAAGAAGAAGAAATTGCTGAAAGCAGGACATGAGCACACAAGCACTCGATTCCTATCTTTCCCCACGAAGAGGTATTGTTAAGCCGCTCTGAGAATTGTAGCTTTGTGAGGTCAATAGGGGCCTCCCTAACAATGCTCAGCCCTCTTAACAAACCACAGCTCTCATAATTATTGGGCATTTGTGTGCCGTGACTGTTTAGAGTGGTACCGTTCTGCTTCAAATAGATGGTGCCAATGTTGGCTGGATGTCTTTTGAGAGGGATACCATGTCGTGCACCTTCTCAGAAGATAACCTCCCTGGTTGTTTTTCTAATTCTTGCAAGGCCTCTAGATGGCACTATATGCATATGGTTATTTCCGGGGTGCGCATGAGAGCAGGCCTGAATTAATGCATAGTAAAATTGGGAAATTGGTCACAATGAGTACAGTAGCTGTCATGAGAACAATAAACCGGGATGCTGCATGTTTTTATAGGTCACGCTGGGCAGTGAACCCTCAAGAGGGTAATAAAGCACAGAATCTTAATTGTGATGCAAACCCTTATTTAGTGGTTTTGATTATATGGTGTGGCGTCTCAGGCTAAGCACCTGGCAGTGAGTCAGGTGCCTCAATTACTCTGTGCAGAGAGACATAAGGCTTGTCTCATCCACTGTTGGGTCCAGGTTTTGCGGGGGGGCCTGAGCAAGAAGCCCTTAGTAGGCCCTTCTCTTTCTCACTGCCTATTGTGAACGGAGAAATCTGAGGGCTCCCTTGGACAAAAAACAAGGACACCAGCCAGGAATACCAGAGCAAAACAGCAGCCAGTAGGCTTGGTCTTTATTGAAGACTGTCACGACAGGACTCCCACCTGCCACAAGGTGGAACAAGATGGAAGCACCAAACAAAAGAGCCCCCAAACTTTTATTAGCTGCTAACCCCCATGTTACACCCCCCAAACTACATCACTCATACATCACAGTTACATCATGAAAGGGGAGGTCTGGTGGCAGTAATCTGAGCATCCTGGACCCTGCCCCATGGTTCTCCTTGCCCTCCACCAAACACCCATCAGGTGTAACAAAAGAGATATTTACATTTCCCTATTTCCCAGCCAAGCTAATCACACCCTTTTGTCTTCAGCTGGGATTGTTATTTCTGGAATGGCTACCTGTCTGGCACTCAGGTATCAGGATGCCAGGGATTATCACTCAGGCACAGGGGCTGCTCAGTAGCTGAGCTCATATGTCTATATGAATTTCTGAAGTTTTCCCTGTGAGCCAGTACACAGATACATTTATCAGTGAATTGTCACATTTGGTATTGTGCAGCAAAGGCCCTTTGAATAGATAGGAAGAAACTGTGATGAAGTGTGTTGTGGGGACAAATCACAAAAGCGATTGTGCTGGTTTTGGTAGTGGGCTGCATGTGCATGATATCTGCTGGAGGGGCAACCCCCCTCCAACCTATACATAAATTCCTGCAATATTATCAACCCAATGTTTACAAGTGACGGGTGGGGGGGGGGGAGAGAGAATGCAAGGCAAGTGAAAGAGGTCCATGCAGCCCCATGGATCTACATGAGCCCAAAATGGCAACCTTGGATGTTTGTCCTGACTCTGCCACATGGCAAGGTGCTACAACCAGCTGTCCACACTGTGAAACGCACCATAGGGAGGCATTGAGAGTTTAATGGCACTTCCAGGTGTCTTTTACTGCATAATCACAATTGTGCACGATCCCACTTCAAATATTTCAATCTTTATATGCGGTTTTGAGATTTTCAGATTAAAAAAACAAAAAAGCTTGACATTTTCAGTGGGAGGGCTGTGCCCCAAGTAGGACATTGTCACACCATATGCACCAACCAGCAAGAAAGCAAACATGTCTCTCTGGTATCCGTCTCTATAGCCACAACAGGCGCTGTAACTCGCCAATGGTTTGACTTCCCTCCCAATGGCACACTCTTCCATTGTCAACGAAGGAGTTGGACTAGGTGACTCTCAGGGTCCCTTCCAACTCCACAATTCTGTGAGTCTAAGTTATGTTGGACATTTTATGCCCTTTAAGAACAAACGTAGGGAGGGGTGTGCGTGTTAATGTTGTGTGTTAGTGCATGTGTATGTGTAAACATGTGTGGGGTGCGTGCGTCTCCACCCCCATCGTTCATCCCAGACACTGAGATCCAGTGCCGAGGGCCTTCTGGTGGTTCCCTCCCTGCGAGAAGTGAGGTTACAGGGAACCAGGCAAAGGGCCTTCTCGGTAGTGGTGCCCTCCCTGTGGAACGCCCTCCCATCAGATGTCAAGGAAATAAACAACTGTCTGACTTTTAGAAGATGTCTGAAGGCAGCCCTGTTTAGGGAAGTTTTTAATGTTTGATGTTTTATCGTGTTTTTAATACTGTATTCTGTTGGGAGCCACTCAGAGTGGCTGGGGAAACTCTGCCAGATGGGTGGCGTATAATAAATTGTTGTTGTTGTTATGTGTGTGCACCAAACTGCGTCTTGTTACTCTAGTTCTCGGACAGGGAGAGTCACACCGAGAACAGAACTGTGCAAGCTGCATGGCATAACATTTAGTGCTTTTCCAACCAGCAGTTCAACAGCTCCAGAGAGCACAAATAAACTTTATCGAGCGAACTGACCCAGATCTTTAGCAGATGGACTAAATGCTCCAGATTAAATCTAGCATGGGTACAGCATGGTGCTGATAATGCCAAAGGTTGCAGGTTCGATCCCCATATGGGACAGCTACATATTCCTGCATCTAGTTTGGACTAGATGATCCTTTATATATATATAATAATTATTAATTTTTCTATTTTAAAATACTCATTTTACATCCTTAAAATATCAGTGGCTTCCCTTCTTCTCCTTCCATGGTTCATTTCACGTATCATAAATCCCAGCACATTTTACAAAAACTATACCATGCCGTATTCCATTATTGCATCTATCAAAACTTGTTTACACTGTTGAATTTATCTGAATGCTGCCAGCGTTTTCAGCTGTATGCAATTATTTCCCACAGATGATCCTCAGGGTCCATGATCTTCAAGAAACTTTCCCTCGAACTTCAAAAGAGCCCCCCTGTCTCAACGAGGGTGCCGCACCGGGGCAGAGAAAGGAAGAGATAAAGGTAAAGGCAAAGGGACCCCTGACCTTTAGGTCGAGTCGCGGACGACTCACAGGCGCGGATGGGCGTGGCTACCTGCGGAATAATGGACGCCCCGCTCGGCCTACCAGGTTGAGCCGCGGTCTGCGGAGGCAGCCAATGATAACGAGCCCTTCTCCAGCCAATCGGCGCGTTTCCGTCGAAGGGGAGCTGGCGTCGTCAGGCTGCCTCCTTCCTTTGCTGCGAGAGTGGCGTCGTTGGCTGGCGGGTGGGGGGCCGTGTCTCTTTAAGAATGGAACGCGGAGCTCCGCGGGCTGCGGCCGAGGGTACATTGTGACGTCGCCGCGCCATTGTGACGTCGAAAGGGGACCCCCACCCCCCAAATAAGAGGCGCCTGCGAAGCCGGAGGAGGAGGAGGAGGAAAGCGGACGGAGCTCTCTCCCTTCTCCATTGTGGCTCCCGCCCTGGGGCGCCTCTGGGATTCCCGCGCGCTGCTTCCCCCGGCTCCCGAGCCAGCCCTTCTCGCCTTCAGCCATGCTGACCAGAGCATGGACTCCGCGGAAGGCGATGTGCTGTCGACGCGGGAGCAGCTCTTCCACGAGCGGGTCCGGGAGTGCCTCGTGAGTAGACGGCCGGCGGTGCGGGGCTGTTCCCGGGACAGCAAAGGCGCGCGGGGGGGGGAGTTGGCTTTGGGTCACAGAAGAGTAAGCGACTTGCCCCCCCCCTCCAGCCTGCACCCCAGAACCCCATGTTCTCGGGTGGTCGCGCGCTCGGAATTTCCTGGAGACACACTGCGTGTCCGGGGAAATCAGGACGCATGGCCACCGACGTCTGCGGTGCCGATTTCCGCTTAGCATAGCTAGAACTTTGGCGTAAATAAATAGCTCGACAACTTTTCCGCCCGCCGATTTTCAGCCTTTGAAATATGGGAAGCCTAGACCTGGGGGGGGGGGGCGGTCAGCAGCGCTTACTTCCCGTGTAGACCCGGTTGGGATGGTACAGTAGGCTGCCTGACACACAGGCTGTGAAGGGGGCATTGGCTGGCGAGGCGGAAAAGCCCACGATTTTCAGGTAGGATAGAGCAACAAGTCCCGTCAGGCCGCCTCTGCGGTGAAACGTCTCTCCAACACAGAGGGTTGTGCTGTCATAACCTGGTAGTTGAGAAGGCGGGTTGAGAAATTGAGGTCGAGCATGTCACTTGCAGAGTTTTGCTCGCTTAGAGATAAGCAGTGAGTCAACTTATTTACGGCGGCTGAGACAACCGGAATCTTCTTTTCCCCCCGTTTGTTTTTATCTCTGTTTCTCGTGGAGTTCTTAACTTCGCAACGACATAATCTGTAATTATGCAGTAATTAAAAGACTAAATTCATGTCGTTGCACAAAGTTGTTCTTTTTATTTGAGTGACTTATTTGTGTGTGCCCCCCCCATTTATAGTTGTTGTTGTTTAGTCGTTTAGTCATGTCCGACTCTTTGTGACCCCGTGGACCAGAGCACGCCAGGCACTCCTGTCTTCCACTGCCTCCCACAGTTTGGTCAAACTCATGCTGGTAGCTTCGAGAACACTGTCCAACCATCTTGTCCTCTGTCGTCCCCTTCTCCTTGTGCCCTCCATCTTTCCCAACATCAGGCTCTTTTCCAGGGAGTCTTCTCTTCTCATGAGGTGGCCAAAGTATTGGAGCCTCAGCTTCACGATCTGTCCTTCCAGTGAGCACTCAGGGCTGATTTCCTTAAGAATGGAGAGGTTGGATCTTCTTGCAGTCCATGGGACTCCAGCACCATAATTCAAAAGCATCCATTCTTCGGCGATCAGCCTTCTTTATGGTCCAGCTCTCACTTCCGTACATCACTACTGGGGAAACCATAGCTTTAACTATACGGACCCATTTATAGAGCTGCCCTCATAACAGCAGTTCTTGGGACAACTTCTGTATCTAGAATAACAGAACTGTGGAGTTGAAAGGGACCACAAGGGTGATATAGGTCAACCCCCTGCAATGCAAAAAATATTTTGCCCATGCTCTGCTGATTGAGTCTGCTGAAGCCCACTGGGTGACCTTGGCCCAGTCACTACCTCTCAGCCTAACCTACCCCACAGAGTTGTTGTGAGGATAAAAAGGAGAGAGGGAGATGCGTTTTATACCACCTTTCGCTGCTCAGAGGAAAGATGGGATATAAATATAACAATGGCTAATCATTAAATCCTGACCAAGGCAACCCAGCGTGCTTCACAACCCAGTGGATATTGGAGCCCTAGTCTTCTTGCCCAGGTCCCATATAGTATTTCTCTAGAACCATTGTGCTTTTCTGGTGAGCAAAAGCAGGCTGGTCTCTGCTTTGAGAAGCCTAGAGTCTAGCTCATGGGTAGGCAAACTAAGGCCTGGGGGCCAAATCCGGCCCAATCGCCTTCTAAATCCGGCCCGCGGACAGTCCAGGAATCAGTGTGTTTTTAAATGAGTAGAATGTGTCCTTTTAGTTAAAATGCACCTCTGGGTTATTTGTGGGGCATAGGAATTCGTTCATTATTTTTTTCAAAATATAGTCCGGCCCCCCACAAGGTCTGAGGGACGGTGGACCGGCCCCCTGCTGAAAAAGTTTGCTGACCCCTGGTCTAAGCTGCTGACTGCTTTTGTTTTGCATTCTCCAACAGCATGTTTGGCACGGATGAGTTGTGAGGTGTATGTGTGTGCCTAGATAGCTGAAATAAGAAGCATTCGTGGCTGTGGGTCTTCTGACCAAGAGAAGTCTGGTGTCATGGGCTGGCTGAGTCAGGGCCGAGCAGGCCAGACCATCTGTAATGTTCAAATACAGTGGTACCTCGGGTTAAGTACTTAATTCGAACCTGAAACTGTTCTTAACCTGAAGCACCACTTTAGCTAATGGGGCCTCCTGCTGCTGCCACGCCGCCGGAGCACAATTTCTGTTCTCATCCTGAAGCAAAGTTCTCAACCTGAAGCACTATTTCTGGGTTAGCGGAGTCTGTAACCTGAAGCGTATGTAACCCAAGGTACCACTGTACTTATTCCAAGCTGGTTCATGAAAGCAGAAGGTTGCATGTTTGTTTTCATTTCTGGAGGATTTGTGTGTGCGTGCATTTGATTTGCCCTTGGTGATGATACAGCAGGTGGTCTAGTGCAGGAATAAGGAAACTATTCCCATTCCAATCAGCCCTAGCCAGCGACGATGGGAGCTGTAGTTCCATAAAATGAAAGGCTGTTGTTTCCCCATCTCTGGGCTTGAGGTTTCAAAATTTTATCAACTGCTTGTGCCTCCATTTTCAAACGGCATCTTCTGACTTGGTAACCTTGAGGCATCTTAGTCCCACCTTCAAGCTTTTCTGGAAATTGGAATAATCGTGGCTTGCTTCACAATAGAGTATGTGACAGCAAACATCTTGCCTGTGTTTTCCTTTGGTGAACTGGTCGCTTGGTCTTTGTGCAAATAAAGTTGGCATTTCCAGATCGCAGGCTGGGTACTTCTCACTGTACCTTTTGAAAACAGAATTGGGAGAGGTAACAGCCATGTTTTTGTGTCTCCCGCTTCCCCTCCTGGTGCCTGTCTTCCTCTTCCACATGCTGTGTGACCTCCTTAGAGTGTTTCCTAACAGGGGAGGAAGGAGGAAGAGAGAGGAGAAAATGTCTTTAACATAATTTCCCAATTCAGGTGCCATTTTAAAGGTGTGTGGGAGAAACTCTAGGGTGTGACCTGGCCAGGATGCCAACCTCTAAGAAATGCATGCAGATAGATGGCTATCTGTGTCTGTGAAGGACTGGCATACGTGTCCCTATTTTGCTGTTGAGTTGTATGTTTGGGAGGCAAAAGTTGCTTAGACAAACAAGCCTCAAAGGTGTTCTCAGCCATACTGACACTTGCTTTCAGGAGCTTTCTCTTTTCTGTGAGCTGTACATTCGAATGAGCGTTTGTTGTCTTGGTGTATTTCTGAAGTTCAGAAGATCAGGATCTGAATGAAAGACCATTTGGGAACGCCATGCACGCTACTTTCAGTGTCTAGAAGGAAGGGCAAGATACAGCTGTAAAAAACCTGCCAACGGATTAGTAATTTGACAGCGTTCTTTTACTCTGTATATGTCCCATTCTCTGATAAATTTTTCATCTGCAACGTCTCTTAACCTGATAGTCTCACCAGTTCAGCGTATTCCCTTAATTGGTTTTGCCAATCTAGTTTAGATGGTATATCCTATCCTTCCCCGTCTTTTGCAATTAAAATTCTGGCTGCTACAGTGGCTTACATAAATATTCTCCTGAACTTTTTTGGAATTTCATGACCCATAATTCCTAGCAGGAAGGCTTCAGGGGTTTTTCAGGAAAGAGCATGTAAACATTTTCTTAAGCTCGTTGTAAATCATTTCCCAAAACTGTCTAATCTTTTTAGAGTGAATCCATGTGCCTTCAGCCTCCCTGCATTTCTAACATACGCTTGTCCTGGATCTAAATATTTTAGCTAACTTAACCAGTGTCAAATGTCACCTGTAAAGCATTTTCATGCAATTCTCTTTTAAACTGTAAAGGTAAAGGGACCCCTGACCATTAGGTCCAGTCGTGGCTGACTCTGGGGTTGCGGCACTCATCTCGCTTTATTGGCTGAGGGAGCCGGCGTACAGTTTCCGGGTCATGTGGTCAGCATGACTAAGCTGCTTCTGGCAAACCAGAGCAGCACATGGAAATGCCTTTTACCTTCCCGCCGGAGTGGTACCTGTTTATCTACTTGCACTTTGACGTGCTTTCGAACTGCTAGGTTGGCAGGAGCAGGGACTGAGCAACGGGAGCTCACCCCGTCGCGGGGATTCGAACCGCCAACCTTCTGATCGGCTAGTCCTAGGCTCTGTGGTTTAACCCACAGCGCCACCCGGGTCCCTCTTTTAAATTGTAGCATGCTGTAAATTTGATGTCTTTCCTCCAGAGTCATGATACACACCTCTTATCATGCCTTCCCCCCTTTACTTAGAAGCTGCCAGTCTTGCAAGCCTTCCTCGTAGGAGACTTGCACCAACCCCTTCAACTTGTGGATTCCCCTTTCCTGAATCTTTTCCATCTCTACAATGAAGAGAACTTTCCCTAAAGCTATGCTGCTTTCACCATGGGGGAGTAGCCTGTGCTAGACCTCCATTAGAAACTCTCCTGGACTTTTTCTCTCTCTCTCTCTAAATTATTTATTTGGTTTTCAAATTAAAATTTTTACAGTCACAAACATACAACATAAAGACAAGATTCCAAAGAATCTCCCGGACTTCCCTCCTCCCCTTTGTGGGTCCTATTATTAATTCCTTTCCTCTTGCATCTTTTATAATACAGTGGAACCTCAGTTCCCGAACGCCGAAAACCTGGAAGTGAATGCTTCCTGTTTCAAACGTTTTTTGGAACCCGAATGTGCGACACAGCTTCTGCTGAGTGCAAGAAGCTCTTGCGACCAATGGGAAGTCGTGCCTCGGTTTTGGAAGCCAAACGGGCTTACGGAACGGATTTTGTTCGAGGACCGAGGTTCCACTATAATCCAAATCATTTCCATCTCCATTATATCCAAAATTCACTGTTAAACTGCAAGTGTTATTCAAATCCTACTGACAATTTTAACTGTTTACAATGGTTTTTAAGGTAATGGCC